CTAAGCCACCATTTACAAACACATAGGGGTAATGGGATAGGGAGCAAAGATTCACAACAGAAACATACAGTAGAACATAGGCATACTAAGCTAAATATCGAAATCTATAGAAAATAATAAAGTAGACATGGATACGAAGACTGTAAGTAAACACATTGGGGTGATGCTGAAACTTAAATCAGGACATATCAGTTTCAAAGAAATAAGTAGAAAAGTAGTAGTCTTGTAAAAGCCAAAGTGCAAACAGGAAGACAAAATACTAAAAGTGTGAGTGCAGAAGAGATTGTGAAATTGTGAAGTTTGAAGTAAGTTTTTGTGAAAAAGGTCGTGCCTTTTATAGTGTAGAAAGTAGGTAGAAATAAGGTAAGAAAATAGTTTTAAAATTGATTTTCAATCAATTACACAAGGCTTCCCTTAATTAAAGGATTCAGTTTCAAAACGAGTAAACCCATTTAAGGAAAGGAATTGAATAAACACTTTGTGTAAAGCATGCAATTGAGGGTAAATACATAAAGGTTATTTAAGGACAATGTTTTGACAGAACACGGTTTGTGCAAATAAGGTTAGGGAGTCAATTAACAGCCAGTAAATCACAAGGTCTGAGATTTGGTATGAATGAACCAAGTCAGAAAAGATGCAGAAGGATTTTACTTAAGTCGAGTAACAGAGGAAATCAGTAAAAGATGGAAAGAAATCAATCAAGCTATATTCAGAAGGAAGTTTGCACTATTTGCAAATTTGAAAACAATTTAGAGGAAAATTCATCATATATAAGGAGCATGTGAGCATGAAAGAAGACCGTCGTGTAAATTAGTAGAAAAAATCCAGTGTAGAAGAGTTTAGCAAAATGTTCAGCATTGTATGAAAACAAAGATGTCCAAACTTAGTTCAGAGACTCAAAGTCAGTCTGAAAGAGTTAAGGGTTATAAAATAAAACCCTAGTTCAATCAAACCTCGGCAGAACCCCCAAATTATAGGGTTTCCACCTTGAATCAAGTACAGAGATGAGGAGGCAAGTAGTCGAATCAAAACATGTTTAGAGGTTTCAGAAAAGAACTGAAACTTCTAACATGCTTCTTCCAGCAACAAAACTCATGAATAGCATGTAAATACAGTATAGGGGTTCAAGGCAAACAGAGTAAAGAAACTAATTCGAAGCATGATAAGAAAAGACTGATAAGAACAGTAGAAGAAAGCATGCTTAAGAAGATCCTTTTAAAAGAAACTTAAACAAAGTTAAATGGAAGGAAAATAGTAATAACACTTAAGAACACGGTAGAAGAATACAGTAGGAGACACATACTAGAAAATAGCAGGACATAGTAGAAAAGCATACAAGAACATATTATAGAAAGTACAGTAGAAGAACATACAAGAACGGAATATAAAAAGCACAGTAGAAGAACATACACGGTAGAAGGAAAACATAGAACACAACAGAGGTAAATACATACAAAAGAAAAGGAAAAGAAAGTTAGAGAAATACTTAAGTATTTTCAGAAAACCCTAAATTGTAAAAGAAAAACTTTGAAAAGTAATTTTCGAAAGAAAAGTTAGGGAGATCGTTTGAAAACTCAAAGAGAACATAGATACATAATGGATCTAAATAGATCGGAGAAAACCTCGAAGGGTTAGGGTTTCAGAAGAACCCTAGAAATGAGAAAGGCTTTGAAAAGGTCACCGATCTGAGTCGGAGAGGTCAGAACCAGGCTCAAAACACCATGGTACGCCGGAGCAAGGCCGGAGATGACTTTGGAACCTTGAATCGGCAGAGGTTTGGATGTAAACCTTCGAGGCCTAGCCTCGAATCTTCACGTATCAGGTGTGTAAGAGCAAGGGGAAGTGAGTATAGGGCCCTCACAACTTGGGAAGCCATGGTTTCTGGTGGGTTTCAAGGTGGAAGATGATGAAAGGCGGCTAGGGTTATAAAGTTCAAGAGAGTTTGAGAGAGGAGAGGGGTTTCAGAGGCGGCGGGTGAATGGAAATGATTTTAGGGTTGGGGTGTTTGTGAATTAAAAAAGGAAAGGGAGAACGCGAGCCGTTGATCTGTTAAATCAACGACTGGTATTTGAAAGGGGGCCGGGTGGGTTATTAAAAAGGGTCGGGTAATTGAATTTGAAATTGGGTTTAACTGGGTGCCAAATCTGGCTAAAATTAAAATGTAAACGGGCTAACATTTAAATAGGCATTTTCCCTTATTTATTTTATAAAAATAGTAAAATAATATCTGGAAATAAATTAAAGGTACTAAAATGATTAATAATATGTAATTATCAAATTAAAAATACTGGAGTCAATTTTATAATTATAAACACAATTAAATCTTGAAATAGGCTAATATCCCATTTATACGCAATTTAGCTTTTAAAAATACTAAATAAATTTATAAAAATATGTAAAAATTATGCCAGCTATATTTTAATATAAATATAAGAATCCAATAAGTGAATTACCCAAAATGATAATTTTGGGGATAATTATTGGATTTTTCTTAATAAAATAGGGCAATAAATAGATTTTAAAATCTATAAGAATTAAGAGAAAAATAATAAAACCTTGAGACATACTTATATATGCATATACATGCTATTTTGAAAGTATTTTGCATATAAAATTATACAAGGAAAAATTGGGTATTAATAGACCTACCATCACTAAGAATGGCTCTAGGAGTGCCAAACCGCGTGAATATGTTTTTCTTTAAGAATGTGGTCACACTTCTTGCCTCATTGTTTGGTAAGGCAATTGCTTCAATCCATTTGGACACATAGTCCACAACCACCAAGAAATATTTCATACTACAAGAGCTTATAAAGGGGCCCATAAAATCAATTCCCCACACATCAAAGATTACTATCTCCATCACAAAGTCCATTGGCATTTCATGCCTTTTAGAGATTGATCCTTGCCTTTGGCATTGGTCTCAAGCCTTGACCATTTTTGATTGGCATCATGATAAATCGACGGCCAATAATAACCACATTCAAGCACCTTTTCCGCCATACGATTGCCTCCATGGCGACCCGCGACCGGTGAGTCGTGGCATGCCTTTAGAAGTGGCATAATCACCTCTTCTAGAACACACCTTCTGATGATGTTATCAGCACAAACATGGACCAAGAATGGTTCTTCCCAATAGTATTGCCGACAATCTCTCAAAAACTTCTTCTTCTGATAAGATTCCAATCCATCCAGAATAAGGTCACTAACCAAGTAGTTAGTAATATCAGCATACCAAGGAGCAAAAGTGTTAGATAATGCCAATATGTGTTGATCCGGGAAAGCATCGTTGATTTCAAGATCTTTCTTTGGTCTCCCTGCCTCTTCAAGTCTTGATAAATGATCCGCCACTTGATTTTCCGTCCCTTTCCTATCTTTGACTTCGAAGTCAAACTCTTGCAACAACAGGACCCACCGAATCAACCTAGGCTTTGCATCCTTCTTTGCCATAAGATAGAGAAGAGCAGCATGATCTATGTACACTATCACTTTGGATCCCAACAAGTAAGCCCAGAATTTCTCAAAGGCATATACAATGGCAAGAAGTTCTTGCTCAGTCACCGTATAATTCATTTGCGCTCCATTGAGGGTATTGCTTGAATAGTAGGCCGGGTGAAGATCCTTGTTATGACATTGGCCAAGTACTGCTCCAATAGCTTCACCACTGGTGTCACACATGAGTTCGAATGGAAGAGACCGATCGGGTGTTACAATAATAGGTGTCGTGGTGAGCTTTTGTTTCAATTCCTCAAAGGCTTTGAGGCATTTCTCATCAAACACAAATTTGCATCTTTCTCAAGGAGTTTGCACATGGGATTTGCAATCTTTGAAAAATCCTTGATGAAACGCCTATAAAATCCGGCATGCCCAAAGAAACTTCGGACACCTTTAATTGAAGTAGGTGGAAGGAGCTTGGAAATGATCTCGATCTTTGCCTGATCAACTCTATGCCATGTTTTGAAATTTTATGCCCCAATACAATGCCTTCATCCACCATGAAATGACATTTCTCCCAGTTAAGCACAAGGTTGGTCTCCTCACATCTCTTGAGCACTTCTCTAAGATTGTTAAGACAATGCTCAAAAGAGACACCTACCACCGAAAAGTCGTCCATGAAAACCTCTAGAAAATACTCCACCATGTCGGAGAAGATGAACATCATGCATCTTTGAAAAGTAGCTGGAGAGTTGCACAAACCAAACAACATCCGGCTAAAGGCAAAAATNCCGGTAGATCCAAAAGGGCAAGTGAATATTGTTTTCTCTTGGTCCTCCAATTCTATGTTGATTTGGTTGTAACCGGAATATCCATCAAGAAAGCAATAGAATGACCTTCCTGCTAGCCGATCAAGCATTTGATCAATAAAAGGCATAGGGAAATGGTCTTTGCACGTGGCACTGTTGAGCTTTCGATAATCCACACACACCCTCCATCCGGTCACCATTCTTGTTGGGATGAGCTTATTTTTGTCATTTTCAATCATAGTCATGCCTCCCTTTTTTGACACACATTACATCGGGCTCACCTAAAAACTATCGGCAATGGGGTAGATTACCCCATCATCCAACCACTTGATAATTTCTTTCTTTACCACCTCTTGCATGGACGAGTTCAACCGTCATTGGTGATCCACACTTGGTTTAGTCTCACTCTCCAATTGGATCATGTGTTTGCAAATTCTGGCGGGAATCCCTCGGATGTCGGCAATTGTCCATACAATAGCTTGCCTATGCTCCTTCAAGACAGCCAACAATTCTTCTACCTGCACATCATTCAATAAAGAAGAAACGATTACCGGTAAAGTATCATTTGAGCCAAGAAATTTATACCTCAAGTGTTGTGGATGTGGTTTGAGCTCTAGTTGCGGTGGCTCAATAATAGAAGGCTTTGCGGGAGATCTATTCTCCAAGTCGAGAGAGAGCTTTGCCGGAGCATAAGTGTAGGACCCAAGCCCCTCCAATGCATTGACTGATTCCTTATACCCATCCATATCTTAACCATCAAAGTTCACCAAAAATAGCCACCAACGCCTCCCCGAGGCATTGTTCTTCCATTTTCATTTCAACCGCATATTCCACTTCATCAACAACATCAATCATCGAGATGCTTTCATATTCATGTGGTAGTTTCATACCCTTGCTTGCTTGGAATGTAACCTCTTCATCATTCACACAGAATTTGATCTCATTCCGTTCCAAATCCATTAGTGCTCTTCCTGTGGAAAGGAATGGTCTCCCCAAAATGATAGGGATCTCTTTGTCAACCGCACAATCAAGGATTATGAAATCGGCGGGTAAATGAAACTTTCCCACTTTAACAAGAACATCATCGACAATTCCCACAGGTCTCTTTATGGAACGATCGGCCATTTGCAATTTCATACTTGTGGGCCTTGGCATACCTAACCCTGCTTGATTGTAAATGGCATGAGGCATTAAGTTGATGCTATCCCCATTATCACAAAGTGCCCTTGCAAAATCATGTGCCCCAATAGTACATGGAATAGTGAAAGCTCCCGAGTCTTCTTTCTTTTGAATGGTGGATGTTGCAATGATGGAACTAACCCGGTGAGTCATATTCACCACTTCATTCTTGGTGGTTCTCTTCTTGGTAATCAAGTCTTTCAAATATTTTGCAAAACCCGGCATCTCTCGAAATGCTTCCACAAATGGAATAATCACTGATAATTGCTTGAGAATGTCATAGAACTTTTTGAGTTTGCTATTATCAACCTTCCTAGCAATTCTTTAAGGGAATGGAGGAGGAGGTCTAGGAATAGGTGGTAGAGTTTTTGGTGTCTCTTTTACCTTTTCCTTTACCTTTTCCCGGTTTTCTTCTTGCACTTTCAATTCTTCCGGAAGCTTTTCAACTTCAACAACACTTGGCTCTTCAACCTCAACCTCATGTTCGGACACTTTTACTTCAACTACTTGTTCACTCTCTCCTTGTAGTACCTTCCCACTCCGAGTATTAATTGCCATGATATGAGAATTTGGACCACTCCCACTATCCTTTGGGTTCGCAATTGTGTCACTTGGAAGTGTCCCTTTTTTGCTTCGGATTTTGTTGCCTAGAGAGGTCTCTCATTTGCATCTCCAATTTTTGAATGGATGCAGTATGAGAGCCAACAATATCGGTCACATTCCTCATAGAAGTGTCAGACTTCTCTTGATTTTGCAATACCGGTTTAAGCATGCTTTCCAACTTGGAATCACTCAAGGAACCTTGATTTGAATATTGAACCTTTGGAGGAACATAAGGGTTTGAACTCCGATTTGAGAAGTTGTTGTTGTTATTCCAATTTTCTTGATTTGAGCCACCTTGGTCATTTTGCCAATGTTGGTTGCCTTGCCCTTGCGGGTTAGGCCTCCATTGATTTTGCTATCCTTGACCTTGGTATTGTTGCCTTTGATAACCTCATTGGGAGTTGTTGACATAGTTTGCCTCCTCAAAGTCTTCATTTGATATGGGTTGCACATCCTCCACCACATTTACCTTCTTCATTTGGTTTTCGGTGAACATCTTTGTCAACACATTGACATTTGTGGCAAGCCCTGCGATCACTTGATCTCTCTCTTGATTTTCCTTGACCATGGTGGTCAAAGAAGGAGAACCATATGCAATTCCACCTGTAGTGTCCTCTTAGTGCCAAGCTTGTTTATGTTTTGCCATTTTGTCAAGTATTTATGTGACCCTTGCAAATGATTTGTCCATAAAAGATCCATCAGCTGCATTCTTGGCTATAGACTGGTTCATAGGATCCAAACCCATGTAGAATTTCTTCAACAAGATAGAATCCGGAAAACCATGATTGGGAGACCTCACCAAATATAAATTGAATCGATCCTATGCCTCATGTAGATGTTCTCCCGGTACTTGCTTGAAAAAGAAAATTTTATCCTGGAGCTCAGACTTCTTACTTTGCGGGAACCATTTAGCTAAGACGCTCGGACATGTTCAGGCCAAGAATGAATGGAGTTTGGTGACATATTTTGAAGCCACTTCCTTGCATCCCCAGCTAGTGAGTACTTGAACACCCTCAACCTTAGGGCATCATCAAAGACGTTGTTCTATTTATGCATCGTACACACACACACAAGAAGATTCTAAGATGTTGTGTCGGATCATCATCAGTGGAATTCCTAAAAAACCCCTCCGCTTTGAGCA